CGGAGAGCTTGAGTTATATATCCGTGTATGGATCACCGATAAGATAAGGTTCACGTCTTCTAGTATCAATATGTGCATGTCCACGGAAGAAGGGGTAGAAAGCACCAGCTTGATACCAACGAGTAAGAAGATCCTTTTCAGGGTTACCAAAGAATCCACCAACATCTGCACCAGCGAATGGGAAACCTGCAATACCATTGTTGAGAATCATAGGGAACGCAGCCGCAAGATGATCCCAGCTAGCTTGGTTATCACCAGTCCACATGGCTCCCATGCGTTGACTTCCAGCATAGAAAGATCGAGTGAGAATAAACGGACGGCGAAGCGAAGTTCACCTTTCTTGCGCTCGACCATTGCTTCATAGGTTGCGTTGACAAAGGTCAAACCGTTGACATTGTGAACATCACGGTGTTCCCAGTTTCCGAAATGTAAGTTATCCTTGGGCATAGTTGTTTCTGGCCCATTGAAAACCGATGGCTCTCATGTCATTCCAGAGGAAGAGGTTAGGTGTATCAAAGGCAGAAGTCTTAAAGAGACTCTTCCACCATTTGATTGCTGCAGGATTGAATGCGTCAACCCAGTGGGAAGATCCTGGCCAACACCAACCTTCATAGATACTGCCCTCCTTGTTATGAACAGCCAAGTCCTTACTCTTTAATTCATCAACAACCTTATAATTAGCTTCATTCTTAATGTGAGGATCGATGATTGCAACAAGCTTTCGATCGGATTTATCCAAGTGTGACAACATGTCAACGTGGTTTCCGAAAGTGTGAGGATCCCAAGTAAAATATTTCTTTCCATCGGTATACTCGATGTCAAGCCAAATAACATATATGGGATTTGGAATTTGTCGAACTTTCTGTCAACATCCTTCACATCCTCATCGGTAACATAATTCCATCGACATTGGTGGTAGCCAATGGAGAATTCTTGAGGAAGCTGTGTGAAGCCTGTGAGCTCTCCATATGCTTTTGTAACATCCTTTGGTGTTGGTCCAAGGAAGACAACACATCAATTAAACCACTCTCCGAGAACCAATGAGTTTTTGTATCAGTTTTTCCACTCAAAGGATTCATGGATGCTTTCTCCTTGATAATATCAATCCAAGTCTCGGCTGCGTTCAGCCAAAAAACACCAACGGTTGACGCTGCTCGATGTGCTTGCATGAAAGGAATGGCTCCGTATAGAGTCATTTCACTATCCATAATGTACTCGAAAACATCAGCGTTGTATAAACGGTATGGATCTTTATGATTGCCCTCTCCACCTCGGGTTTGCTTCAATGACAAAGGTCCAGCATGTTCTGGAATACCAAAGACATGTTCATATCCGGGGAAGGTAATGTCAAGAGAAACACTCTCAGGACCCTTAGGTTTTGAGTCGGTATTTCCACCAAAAGATTCCTCCCACCACGTGGACTCATCTTCGCCGGCTTGAACTTCGGCTGATTCTTCTTCGCCTTCTTTCTTTTCTGGCTTCTCAATCTTCGGTCTCCAATGTTCCATGTTCATCAATCCCCGTTCATTAAACTTAATTTGTATCTCGTCATCCCTCTTGAAATCGATTGCAAATGGAGCATGTGTAACTTCCGCCTTGAACTTGCCATCTGGGCCAAATGTAATGTGCGAAACTCCAGGGTACTTCTTATACTCTGCATCTTTACTCAAAGTTAACCCTCCTACAATTGCCCAGTTTGCGGCCTCATTATAACGTTCCTTTCTAGCTTTACTGCCATGTCTCAATTCAATCTCGCCCGTTTGACGTTTTTCTTCATCAATCGTAACTCTCGCAGATCCCGATTCGAGGAACGAAATGGTAATCGGTAACCTGACCGACTCCCCTCCAGTCAATTTCTTGAGGATGGTTCCTTGTAGCTGACCATCCTTCCACGTCAAGGTCTCTGAGCCAGTCGATAAGGAGCTTGTAAGCTCCAATTATCTCCCACTGCTGTTGCTTGATCCGCATATGCTCGATTTCGTTTGCAGAATCCCGATTGATCGCATGTTTTGAAATTCTCATGCTTAACAGATACTATTTAGGTCGTTAGTGAATTCTACACAGAGAGCTGTTGTTGGCATCCATCACCAGCTGGTGTAATCAAGCTGCCAAATGTTGATAACAAAACTAATATCCTGTCCATTGTGAGGACAGATTTAATGGCGACTTCATGATTGAAAAAGACATGCAATATTTAGCAATTGCACTTAATTCAGGATTGAAATCAAGTGCTAAATAGCTAGATATATGAACAAATGGCTTGTACAACAGAACCATAAAGAATTGAAGTCTTGCGTTGGGGGGGGGTTGAGGTTTTCCAAGCTGTCCTATTCTCCTTCACCAATGACGATCAAAGCTCAGCTCCCCAGTCATACCTATACCTATAGCATAACATGTGCATAAAGTTTTATTGGTGATACATGGCCCACGAACCATGATAGAAATTTATGCGAGATTACATAAAGTACCCTTCCACATATGAGTTACCTCACATCTAAGGCTTCATCAGCAAAGAAAGGGTACCCTTCCGCCCCTCCTACCAAACCCCACCAAGGAAAACCCCACTAACAACACACCTCACCTAAAAGAATTTAAAATATGAGTGAAGCCCCCGAATCGATCTTAAAGCACGTTCAATCCTAAAACTCAAGCACTCTTAAGAGCATCAGCAAACACCGAGAGAATCTGCCAGATCAAACGACGATACCATGTCTACCGAACAAACGTAAGTCCCTTTATTCTATCATCTATTCTTATGAGAGGGTGTTGTTTCTTTACTCTTGGACAAGAATTACCCCACGTCAACAAAGTATTAGCGGTGTATACTAACGTCTTTGTGTCGAATAGACTTCATTGCCATCAGCCAGATGGTGTCCAAGTATGCAAATACCATTCTAATAGAGAGAAGAGGATGAGAGAATACTGATTGATGTTGAATTCAGCGTGGACTCGTTGGCCCAATCATCAGCCGATTGAGGCTCGTGGGTAGGTTGCCATGTTGCAAAGAATATTTGAGCTTTGTTGACATTGAGAATAGTTACAAGCTTGCTGCCATCAAGCTCACCACCCCAGGAAAGGACCACCTCGAGCAGCACTGTAAGCATTGAAGAAATAGATGTTATAAGACTGTAGAGACTAACACCTTTTGCAGACGCTGATCTCTCCGACAAGCCATTCTTCGCTGGTCTCGTCAACTGTACGTATCTGCCATTTTGAGCACACCAAACACCAAACACCTATCTAACTATCTCTAGACATGAACTCTGGCCCAATTTGCGCCATGGTCTGGGAAGGACGTGATGCCGTCAAGACCGGCCGTAGTAAGTACCCCTTTGTCTTGCTTATCCCATCAACCGCCATCTAATTCTTTCTCTTTAGCCCTCCTCGGTGCCACCAACCCATTGGCATCTGCCCCAGGTACCATCCGTGGTGACTACGCCATCGATGTCGGACGCAACGTCTGCCACGGTTCCGACTCCGTCGAGAACGCCAAGAAGGAGATTGCTCTCTGGTTCAAGGAGGGTGAGGTTCTCTCATGGAAATCCGCTCAACACGACTGGGTCTACGAGAAGTAGATTAGATGTAATGTTCTGTCATTTACTTCAACAACAAACAATTAGCTCCAAATATCATATCTGAAGATTGTTTCTGATGATGGTGGGTAGACACATACATGAATAAAAAGTCAATCAACCTCAAGCTATGTATATTTACATTGAAGATTGGGTTTCGTGAATGTTTGTGCCATCTTTCCCGTTCCACGTTGAAGTCGTATCTTGAATTCCCGACCAGCTTTATCATCGAATGTACCCGAACGCAAATACACATCTCCCTCTAACCATACATATCCCATCCCATGATCTATATAGTACATCTCACTTACTACCTCCCCTTCCTAGTCTCCCAATTATCCCCATGACACCTGCAAACCAAGGCGCGCCCCAAAACAGAAACCAATATTCTCACAGGTAATAACACCTTCGTGATCACATACGCCGTCGCAACTTCTAGCACTATCCTCTTCCCACTCGTGTTACTATCTCCTCCCATTCCCCCTAATCAATCCTTCACCCAGTTCTAAGTTCTTTCCCCATCCCTCTCATCAACCTCATCCACCCTAGACCCCGCAGTATACCCAAACCATCCTCTCCTGCCAAACCACCTCTCAAACATCCCTTCGCCTTCTCCACTTTCTCCTCCGGTATCAAATCCGAAGGCAACCATCCTGAATAATGAAAACCGCTCGCCAGAAGCAGAATAGGTACAATAGCAGTAATCTCATGCAGAATCAAAAACGAAATAATATACGTCTTCGGCGCATCGAGTAGTGGAGCTGTGTATGGATGGAGAAATTTAGGCAAGCGGAGTTGTAGTGTTCGTAAACGGTTCTGTAGACGAGAACGCGAGGAAGAGAAGGAGGTTGCGGATATGGGGACGGCTTGTTTGGGGGGTGAAAGGAGAGGAGGCCTGGAGGAGAAGAAACGTTGGGGATTTCGGATGGAGTTGGTTTTGGTTTTGGAGGGGTGGCGGGGAAGAGAGGAGGTGAAGAAATTTTTGGGGGTGGATGGGAGGGAGGTGAGGCGGAGACAAAAGATCGGAGGGGTGGACATTACATTGTTTGATTGGGTTGTGTTGGGGTGAGTAGAGAGAAGATGTATTTGTTCGAGTTTGGAGATTCAAATGTTCATTTAAGCTGTCGAGGCTAGCTTTAGAGCTTGGATTTAAGGTTGTGCTTAATTAGTGTGGGTTTGTAGGGGCCGTGCGTAGGTACTGATGTCATGGTTGATTGATAGCTAGACGAACCTACCTTGGTTTGTTCGTGTAAGTCGGGTACTCTACTTTCGGACTACCCCTGTTTTGGGCTACTCTTTATTATTAAAAATCTCAAAAAATAGAATTTTTAACTTTCTTATTTATAAATAGAATTTATTGAAAATTTGTATATATATAATACAGATTGTTTTAAATCTAATTTGAAATTTTTAGATTTTTAGGATTTTTTTGTATTGAGATTTAAAGCTTTAAAATGTCGATTTTTTAATTATATAAGAATCACATATAAATTTAGAACTCTTATAAAATCTTTAATAACTTTTTAAAAAAATTATTAAAAGAAAATTATATTATTTTTTAAAATTTTTGAGTTTAAATCTATATTAAAATTCAGAAAAAATTAAAAAAAAATTAACAAATATAAAGATATAGTATAACGTAGTTTATTAGTGGATTGGCTATATCAATAAATCAGCTATTTTTATCTCAAATTATTACTTCAAAGCTATATTGTTTAATAACAACTAAATTAATTAATTAAAATTATTAAGAATTTAATAATCTGGGATTTATTATATTATTTTAATAAATTCTTGTATTATAATCTATCTTTTTGTATTTACTACAACATTAATTAGAAGATGCTTTTCTATTAAAATTCCTTTCTTTTTAATGTTTATTGTATTAAATCTGAATATCAATTTTTACTAAGATAATATATCAAAAAGTCTTTGATTTAATAAGCATTCCTCCTTAATATAATTAGGTTTTTTTTATATCTTAATATTTACTTAATATTTCATTTACTATTCGAAATATATAATTCTTTATATTTAAAAGTATATTTTTATAAGCTAATATTTTTATATCTTTAATTAAAATTAGTATAATCTCCAATATAGATATAGAGAAACTTGCTTGATAATAAGTTATTCGAGATTTAATTAATATTAATTGAGAAAGAGCTTTAATTGAATTACAAGGGGTTTGAGAGATTTATTAATCTAGATCGAAAAAGGGGAGGGTAAGTATATGAATTCGAATATCTAATTTCGAGAGTACAGTTTCAGAATTGAATAGAATTAAATCTATTCCTTGAAATTTTGATTTTATATTTTAAAAGGTAATTGATTCCTTATATATAATTTTAAAAGCTATAAAGAATTCAATCTTTGAAATATGATTAATATATACCTTAATAAATCTATCAATTTGATTACCATATAAACATTTTAGATTATTAAAATAGTTAATATTAAATAGTTAAGTTAAATAACTTAAATATAATAATAAATATAAATATATAATATCATTCTCTTTATAGTATACTTAAAAGCTATTGATTTATAATTTTTATATTTATTTAGTATTAACATTTGATATTTGCCCTTTTTTTGATTCTTAATATACTTATTAAAGTGTTTCAATTATTCTAAATCTATCTCATTATTTGTTCACCTATTAGATATAAGTTTAATAGTCTATTCTATAAAAAGATTGATTTTAATATAACATAACTTATAATGAACCGGGTTATATAGGGAACCGGGTCACATTTAGCCTATCACTGACTTCAAACCCCAATAAATTTTGCTATATATACCAAATCATCTTTTACATCTTCTTAAATTGAAGAGAAGATATAGAATACTATTATTACACTTTAATTAAAGGAATTTAAATTAATTAAAAAGGCTACAAAGTATTTTGAAGTTCCTAAATCAACTCTTATAGTTAGAATCGCCGGAAGAAAATTATATATTCAATTCCACAAAATGATTCAAATTCTTTCAAATATAAAAGAAAATACTTTTGTATAATGAATTTCATAACTTATTATCACTAAATTCTCTATTATATTTATATTAATAAAGGAAATAACTAACGAAATTCGTCTTCAATATATTTAGATTATATCATTTCGAATTCCTATTTTAATAAAAATTCCATTTATAAACTACAAATAAATCTATAAATTCCAAAAACGATATCCAGAATTTAAGATATATTACTCATATTAATTAAAGTTTAATTAGATTAAAGAAATAATACTAAAGAATATTCAGACTTGATTTAATATATTTCGTATATATTTATTAAACAAAAGTATGAATTAAATGATATGTATAATATAAATGAAACCAGATTTAGAATTGAAAGTACTCAAAGTATACATATTATAATCAATTCTACTTAGAAACCAAATTAAAAAGTTATAGCTAATAAATAAGAATGAATAACTATATTTGAATATATTAATATAGCTAAAAAAGACTCTATTATCTATAGTCATTTTCAAGACTCAGAATACAAATTCTGTATAAATTCTAAAGAATATACCTCAAAGCTAGTAGTTCTTTATTAATACAAATAAATAGACTTTAAACAATTATAAATTAGAATAGCTAAAAGAGTTTTCAAACTAAAATTCAAGAAAGTGTTAAATAATCGATCTCGACTTTTGATTATAAATGGTTATTTAAGTTATATTACAAGTAGCTTTATTACTTTCTATATAAAAAAAATATCGATTTATTTATATTACCTTTTTATTACTCCCATTTACTTCAATCATTTGATATTATAATATATGGATCAATAAAATAATATTATTCTTTAAAGGTTGATTAATATTCTCGAGCTAATATAAAACAAATTCAAAAAACTAAATAAATAGAATTCTTTTAAAATATTAGAAAAAAATATCAAATTCTTTTAATATTAAAACTAATTGGAAAGGAGCTAATTTAGTACCTTTTGCCCTACAAAAAGTATTCGATTTATTATTATTTAACTTTTCCTAGCAATCTTTCACTTTATAAATGAGAACCTTCAATTAAGATTTAAATTTATCTATACTTAGAAGCTTTTTTCCAAATGGGACAAAGCTAAGACAAGTAAATCAAATCTTTAATAAAGCTTTAGTAGATAATGATTCTTTTATATTACTAACTTGTCAATATATCAAAAGAATAATTAAATTTGTAGAATCTTAAAATACTGAGATAACTCTATTTCGAAAATAGCTTATTAATATTCAGAAAGTAATTGAAACTTGAAAGAAGAAAACTAAAAACAAAAGAATCAAATTACAAGGTCAATTTATCTTTAGTAATAAAAAAGTACTGAAAATGGTATATAAAGTAGAGAAAAAACCTAAGGAGAAAAAAGCTACAAGAACAACTATATAAACATCTAATTAAAGAATTAGAAGAGAAGACTAAAGAAAAGAGTTAGAAAATAATTCAAATAATTTAGAGTTAGAATTAGATGAAATATGTAGCTCGTAGAACAAGATTATATAAAGAGAATTGAATTTTGTAACCCAGTTCCCCATATGACCCGATTCACCATAAGTTACGTTACCAATTAAAAAGATGAACCTATTCCTAGACCATTAAAAATAAGAAAATAGTTTCACCCTCTTCATTTTTATATATTATTGCTATAGCTTATTCTCGGTTGCTTGGCTATATAGATTTACTTTACTACATCTCTGTTACGGGAGCTGCCTCTAGGGTCACGTGGAAGTGTCTAGAGATCTCTCGAGGTGGTTTAGACTAGACTTCAAGTAGGAATTCAATAAGGTTGTAACTGGTTGCAATTCTCGTAACTATAGTAATGAAACTAATGATTGTTCTTGAGCACGAAGCTCTACACTGTAATGAAACCCATTCCTTTATATAGACCTTCGTTCTCTGTGCTCAGTCGGATCACAAATGATCCCTCTGATCCGATCAACTGGATCACTAATGATCCCTCTGATCGGTACCTAAGCGTCGGGGTCACGTGACGTCTATTGTGGCAGACCATCGTAACACTATCCCCTTCCTAGCTTAGCGCTTGTCCCCAAGCGTTACTTATAGTGTTTACCCCACTTCTTGTAATAATGTAATGACTGATTTCTTTCTTTCATAATGCCTGTTGTTAGGACTCCCAAATCAACTGAAAATCGTGCTTGCTTGTATACCAAATTCAAAGAGAGAGGTTTTATTATGGATGATCCTTGTGCTCGTTGTTCTTCCCGCAAACTGGAATGTCGTGTTTTGTCAGAGTCTCGTCGTTGTGGTGAGTGTGTTAAAGCTGGTCTGAAGTGTGACCTTCTTCCTCCCACTGTCTCGGATTGGGATGCTTTGGAGCGCGAGGAACAACGTCTGGAAACGGAGCGCCGTGCTACTCTTTCTAAATTGATTCGCCTCGACACTCAGCAACGATCCCTTCGTGACCGTGCTGGTGCCATGTTGCGTCGTGGTCTGAAAACCTTGGATGAGCTGGATGCAGCTGAGGAAAAGGATAGGTTGGAAAATGAACGTGTTGAAAAGGAGCGGGAACAAGCATCTGTTTCGACTGCTGATCCTAGCGACGACTCCTTTGCTTTCGATTCTTCTTCTTTGGATCCTTCGATCCTTGCCTCAATGGATTCTCCTTCTTTCTGGGCAAATCCGGGTATTGCTGGTGGAACGCCTCCAACTTCCCAGGGCAGTTGAGGTTTGTTCTTGGTTCCCATGAATTCTCGGTATGTGGATAATCTAACCATTTGATTAAATACTTGATTGTGCCTCTGACGTACTTGCAATCTAGTATTGTTTCGACATCGTATATGGCGTTCGGGTTAACTGGTTCGATTTCCGTAAATGGCGCACTTGGCGCTCCTGGTGGTGCTGGTTCGAGTAAGGATATGTGAAACACTGGGTGAATATTCATCGTGTCTGGTAGTTTCAACCGATAATTAACGGCTCCTATTACCTTATCAATCTTGAATGGTCCTAGTTTTCTGTGATCTAGTTTATTGCTTGGTCTTTTGGTTTCGATGTTTCGTCGTAGCAGATAAACTTTA